ACTTCTCATCAATAACACCCAGTGCCAAGGCAAGGCAAAGCTGACACTCTCTTGTCTTACATCTCGTTGCCACAGAGCATTACTCGTCTACGAGCCTCAAGGAACATGCAAGGGACGATGTATGCCAATGTGCTCTACCTAGGGAAAGAAACGAGAAAAATTGCTCTGCCCGCTCTTGGAATCTTAACCCCATCCACCGAGCACTCAAACAAAAGCTGAAGTGAGAAACCGAACAAAGTCACTCCCTCTTCACGGGTTTAACAGCCACTGCTCGAGGAACGCACTTCATCAATATAAGCATTCAGAAGCGAGGGTATTTAAAAAAATTAAAAAAAAATTTTAAAAGGAAGTAGAAGGGTCAATGGCATTTTCTCCTGCTCATAAAATCTCTTTACCTCTCCGGAGCTTGGGCGGGCTGTGTGGCTCCTGCACTCCCGCCGTCGGAGAGGGTTTGCTCGTGGGCAAGGAGGAGCAGGAGCCCCGCGGCGGAGCGGGATTGGGACGGACATGGATGCAACCTCCGGGGAGACATAGGAGAGCAACACACAGCGCTAAAAGAGCTGAAGGTTTTACTCTTGTCAGCCACTGAAGGCTTTGTCAAACTCCCGGATCTTAATCTTACGGATAAGCACACGTCATAGACACATTGTGGGTCTTAAAATGTGCGCCGTGTTTTTTCTGTCTTTGCAGAGGCTCGCAGTAGCTCGCCAGTGTAGATTCAGATAAACACAAGGAGCTAATAACTAAACTCTCAAAAATACCTTGCTTTCTTTTGTTTAATTTGTTGTTTGGGGGTTGTTTGTTTGTTTTCAGGTGATTTTGGAGTTTTTTAACAGGAAGGTGCATTTTTAATATATGCAACCAAAAATACCGGTGGGATGGACGTGTGCTACAAAGACTGCACTGGCGGAAAAAATTCGTTTACAAAATGGCTTGTGTGTTTCCACGCGAGGAAAAGGACGGTCCCAAAGCCGAAAAAGTCTATCTGTTTAGCCGCAGCACCGTTTTGTTCTGCCTCTGAAGCACCTGTGCTCGTCTCGCCGTGAAGAGACCCTGACCGCCCGAAGGAGCAGCCGTATTCTTGTGAAGGCAAACACGTCCACGGAAACATGTTCCCACCCACGCTCTCAAAAAAAAAAAAAAAAATTTTAAAAGTCTTAAACTTTCGACAAGGAAAGGAGCGCGCTCGGCTCTGCCTCGGTCTGTCCCTGCGCCCTTGGGGTGGCGAAGGGACGGGCGGACGAATGCCACGGCCCTAAAGGACGGTAAACAATATATTCATCAAGGGAGGCAACGCCTGGGGCCCCCGTGACCTTTCCGCTGCTCAGGTTAAATCTATAAATACCCACAAGACATCCGAGCCCATTGTTTTGCTGCCCTCTGAAACCGAACCTGCCAAGGGGACGAAGGGGCGTCCCGCCACCCTTCTCCTCCTCCTCCTCCTCCTTTGGCCTGTCGGTGGCGGGAGCCGAGTGCCGGGGGAGGATGCGGGAGCTCGGCCGTGGGCGGCGGCGGAGCAGCGGGAGAGGCTTCCCGGAGCCCCCGGCGAGCCCTGCCTGCCCCGGCCCGGAGCTCCCTCTTTTCCCGAGTGGGAAAGAGAAGGTGAGAGCCGCTGTAATCCCGAATTCCTTTTCACAACTTCGTGGTTGAACCCGCACATGATTAAAATCCAGGTTTATCCCCCTTTTAAATTAGTCTCGTAAAAAAAGCACATTAACTCTGGCGGCAAAATTCGTGGCTGAGACATAAATAAATAACTTGGATGCTCGGGTGATGTTCCTTACAAACCTGGGGGATCTATCCGCTTGCTTTCCTCACCTCTGCCCACGCCACAGCCCGACCCAGCACCTCCCAGGCTGCCGCCTCGCTTCTCCCGGGAGGATGCGGCCCCGGAGGGAGGGCAGGACTCTCGGGAGGCTCGGTCTCGCCAATATCGTCAGCGAAGAGTTTGGGCACGGCTGTAAGATGGCCCGTCAGGGCCCAGGGATTCCGCCAACACGGGGAAACGAGCAGCGCTGCCTGCCAGGCACTGCGGTTTGCGCACATCCAGCGCAGACCCGCACCCACTCGGGGGCTGGAGCGGGGCCGCTCCGCCGCCTCCCCCTCACCCCTGCCAGGGGATGTGTCCCGCGCTCGGGAGAGAAATCCTCATACCCGCCCTTAGCACGCAAAAGATCTAGGAAAAGGAGAGCAAAGCCTTACTGTATTTGTGGCCGCGTTTAGCTCCCCACGCTGAATAGTTTTCAGACCCTCCCGCGCTGAAATAGAGGCAATTTAGGCGAAAAGATGGATAAATGGGGTTAGACCGATTTAGGTGATCCCACGAAAATCAGGACATAATTTCCCAGCGCCCCTGGACGACTTGCGGCCTCCCCGCAAGCGCCCCCGTCCCAGCAGCACCGCAGCAGAGGGAGCAGCCCGTCCCCGCTCGGGGGCAGCGGCTTTGAGCGCTGAACCTTTGGGACGCTATAAAAATTCCCTTTTCTAATTTCTTTTTTCTATATCGCTGGAGATTTGGCAAGTTTAAAATACGTTAGGTGTAAAGTTTGTTCTTAATTAGGTCTTGTAAAGATGGAATTTGGTGGTCATTATAGAGCCGCTAATCAATTTTCACCCAGCAGCAAAAGTACACCGCGGAGGAATTAGGTTTAATGAAGTGACTGTGCAAATTACAGTCGCGGACTTTATTTAAAGTCTATCAACCTCCTAAAAATGATTTCTCAAACTGTTCTTGATTTCCTTTGCTTTATGAAAAACATCACGTTTACTTTCTGAGGTTTCAGGCACCAGCAGCCATTCTCTCCCGCTCTCCAATCTGGCGCATGGAGAGTTTTCCAATTTTCCAATTCGAATTCGCTGAGAAATAAGCAAATTAAACTTTGAGACTGTATTAAAACATAACCCGTTGAGGCTAAAAAATTATGAAAAACTGTTCTAAAAAAAGAAAAACTGTTTAAAAAGGGGGGACAAAAAGAAAAAAATAAGACTGATGCACAGATACTCTCTGTTATTACAAAGCGGTTTTTTGTCCACGATCACGTAATTATTCCTTTGAACGGGGAAGCCTTTGAAGCCGTAGCCTATTTTTTGACTGGTTGATCGCTGCTGTCCCCTCTCCTTTATGCCCGTCCCTCCGCTGAGAGAGACGACGCTGGCAGCAAATATTGCCTACTTCTCCTTAGCACCCGCACGGAGAAAGGCTGCTGCTGTTAAAAGCAAATTGAAATGCGGTTCCTTGAGGGAGTAGAGGGGAGAGGTCTTCATGGTCTTTAGCTTCCTTCAAAAACACTTTAAATATTATATTTTACAGCAAATATTTTTGGTACCTCGATCTAAAATTCTTTCTCTTTTTTTCTCCTCCTTTTGTTTTTGTTCTATTGGTTTAGGTTTTTTTACTCTTAGTTTTGGGCAGCTTATGCTAATTGATAGCTCAGGGAACGTCACGCGAAATAAATAAAAACGAAATTTAAAAGGTGCTCCAAATGCAACGGAATGGACTTGGCAGGACTGGAGGATATTTCTGCCCTTTTTCTTAGGGCTGCGCAAAGAAACCGTTTGACCTTTTTGCCCCATCTGAGCACTAAAATCAAAGAGAAATCACCTAAAATTCTCTTTCTCCCCACACTACAACTGTGAGAGCGGGGCCGCTCCCTCCGTCCCTTGTTAAGGCCCTGGGGAACGGGGATTGGGGACGGCGAGAAGGGTGCGGGGACAGCTCGGGGAGCGAGGCCCGGCGCGATTTCACCCCCGGGATCGCCGCGGATCCGCGGCTGCGTTTGCGGAGCCCTCGCTTTAGGCCGGAGAGGAGCGGCCGGGGGGACAGGAGGAGACCGAGGGTTTGGCTTGAGCCAAATGAGAGCTGCGAGCTACTGGATTCCTTTTAAATAAAAACAAACAAACGAGAGTTTAAAGTCCAAAGACGGACACCAGGAGGGAAGTGTTGTGCTCGCTGTCCCCTAACCTCGTCCCGCCGGCCCTGGGGCCGCGGGCCCGGCGTGGCTCCGTGCGCGGCTCCGGGAGGAGCCAGGCTGGGAAGCGGGGCCGGACTCCTCTCAGTGCCCCTTACCCGCCGAGCTGCTTTTCCCTGCCGGGAGCGTTTCCCTCCGGAGAGGGAAGGGACCCCTCCGTGTCCCCCCGCGATTCCGCCGCGGTTTGTGCGCTCCGTGCCGGGAGCGGAGCGAGGCCGCGCCGGCCGGAACCCAGCGGGTCCTGTCCCGGAGAAGGATCCCGGGCTGCGGGAGCACACAGCGGATCCTGTCCCGGAGAAGGATCCCGGGCTGCGGGAGCGCACAGCGGATCCTGTCCCGGAGAAGGATCCCGGGCTGCGGGAGCGCACAGCGGGTCTCCATCGCTCCGAAGAGCCGGCGACCCTCGCCCCGGAGCAGCGCTGACTCCGGATGCCCACATCCTCCTCCTATACCGAAACCTCGGCTTAGGGCATCATTGTTTCCGCGGGGAGTACGCGGGGATGACTCGGAAAAGAGGAGAGGGGGGCATCTTGCACCCCACTTCTTTGCCCCCGGCCCACCGGGCAACTCCAACTTGGGGCTCGGTAAATTGGGGCAAAATGAAACGCGTGTCCCGAGACACCCGGGAAGGACTGTCGCGATGGGCAAGCACGGAGGGAGTGGAAGGAGAGAGGGTTAAAAAGGAAGCAGAGGGGACGCGCCGTCCCTCGCGAGAGATCACGGAGCTATGTGGGGGGGAAAGAGACACAGAGAGTAAGAGAAAGTTCCCGTAAACTGAAAGGAAAAAACCAACCAACCAAACAAACAACAAAAAAACCCCACAAAAACAACAACACGGAAAAAAAAAAAAAAAAAAAAAAAAGAAAGAAATCTCCGCAAAATTCCCGCTTCTTTTTTCCTGCACTCCCAACCTCGGATGTTTTCCGGGACGCGCTGCCCGGCGGGCAGCTCCCGACAGGACCGAGGGCGAGAAGCTGGGAGGGAGCGGGGCAGGAGGGGGGGGGGTCCCGAAGAGAAAGGAGTCGCACTAACCAGGGTTGAGGTCCAGGCACTGAGTCGGGTCTTCATTGTCCCCCAGCTGGCCATTGGGGCTGAGGCTTTCCATGGACAAATCCAGCCCCTTGTCCTCCCAGTCTCGCAGTTTCCTCTTTTTATTTGTCCCGATCAAGGCTTCTACCGAGAAAGCGTGAGCTCGGGAGCTGAGGGCCACCGCCGATCTTCGCCTCTCACTCATCTTATCCCCCAGCCCAGACCCTTGGGCACAGGAGCGACCAGCGGCTGGGAGCGCACAGCTCGGGGAGCAGAGGCAGAGCCTCTAGCCTCTGTCTCCCCCCCCACCCCTCCCCAGCTGCACCCCCAGAAGAACCAGCCCTCAGTCTCCTGAAGGCACTACATGAGGCTGCAGATACTCCGCAGGCAGAGCCAGGAGGGTGTGCTCAGCCCAGATCCCAGCACTTGCTCAGAGGGGCTGCAGCAGGCTGGATTTCTTTTTTTTTTTTTTTTTTTTTTTTTTTTTTTCTTCTCCCCTTTCCTTCTGTCTCTCTCTGATTGATCCAAACTTCTGGGATTTTTTTTTTTTCTCCAAGAGTTAGGCAGGCTGCGTGCGCCTGTCAGGAAAAAAAAAAAAAAAGGGAAAAAAAAATGTCCCCGGCCAATAGGAGGGAGAGCTCGGGAGAGACCCAAAAGCTGCGACCCAATAGGGAGGGGAGGGAGACTCGGGCTTGAGGGAGAGGAATTTTGGCCATCTGAGTCCTGGAACACCGGCCGGGAGAATTAACTGTTTGAAGAACGGGCAGCCAGTAGGAAACCCATAACTCTAAACACAGAGAGGTAACAACTCCCGCACTTCTCTGCGCCGCGCCCAGGCTGCCCAAACGCCGCTGCGGGCTAATCCCCACGCAAAGCACCCCAGAGGTGCTTTACCGCCCAGCGGCGCCGGGTGACGGGGTGTTTTTAAAACTTCGTTTATGCCATGTATTACTTGCCCTTGCCGGCGGAATCGGTGCTTGGCAGAAGCAGAAGCAACGTCTCGAGGGGGTTGAAATTTCACTTCAAAACGATGCGTGTCCGTGGAGCGGCGGGGCCGAGCGGGCGGCGTGGGCTGGCAGGGACACCCGGACACACCCGAGCGTGGGGAGCGCCTTGTCTTTGGGAAGGGATTTTTTATCTAGATAAAAATATTTTTTTCCCTTTCCCGCTTCTTTTTGTCACTCTAGCTACAGCGAAAACAAAGCCGCTAGGTACAAATCCCGGCAGCTTGCCTGGGTAATATTCAGCATTTTATTTCTGCTCTCTTGTTCGCTCTGCCCTGACATCCGCCCGGCTGAGGCGGGCCCGCAGCTGCTCCCACGCCCCTCGGTCACGCGTGGCGCGGGGGGGCGCGCAGTGAAAAGCAGCAAGGGCGGCTTTTGAGAAGGTGACAGAAGCGTGCGCTTCCATGAGCTGGTGGGACCCCGGAAAAATAGGTGAATCAAGTGAAACATTGTACACGGAAAATACAGCGGGGATTAGTTCGACACAAGTTCAAAATAAAATATGAATAATTATTAAGTACCAGAAGGGATTAGCCTGGACCGAGCCGCGGTGGGAAAGCGCGGAGACAAGGAGACACACAAATTTTCAGGAAGGGATTATTTTTGTCCGTTGCTTCTTAGCTGCTCCCCGAAGGTGCAGAGCTGCTTAGGACAGGTTTTTCATAGACGAATTTTTTTCTACGGGGCTGCAAACAAGTGAAAGGAGTATGTGTGGGAGCGTAGGGGGGAAAAGACACTTCCTTTTGCTCCGAGTGAATCCCTGGTGCCCACGTCGGCGCGGTACGGCGGAGCCCTTCAGCCCGCTCTCCCCGGCCTAAAGCGCCGACTGACAGCAGCCCGCCGGGGTTCCCACGCACGGAAACGGATTTCAGATGTAAAACGGGAAATAAGCCGTTTCTTCGGAAATCCCGGCTAAACCCTGTTATCTAGGCCGAGGAGCAGGTTTTGTACGTCTCCATCACCCGCCCTGCAGCCCTCATCCCCCTCCCCGTGGCTCCTTTCCCCTCCCCTCCAGTACACCTCCCTGACAGGTCGCTCTCCGCGGGCACAGCGGCGCTGCCACACGGCATGGATGTCGTGTGTTCCCTACCCTGCTCTGCCCGCTCCCGGCCCCGCGGGGAGCCGCGCCGGGCAGGAGCAGCAACACGAAAGGAGCGATCGAGGCAGGGGCTTGGAGGAAGGCGACAGCGGGAGCAGGGACTCGGAGGAGGGCACACGTGTTTCCAGCGGGTCCCCCAGCTGTGTGTCTTTTCCCAGGCGAAGGAATGTCTCAAAAAAAAAAAAAAAATCCCCCCCGAAACCCCATCAAAACAATTCTTTTCCCTCTTTCCGAAAGCCTCGGAAACACTTGTCTGGGATGCAGGCACCGAGGAAGGCTTTCAAAGAAGCTGGAGGGAGATTTCAGCAAAAGAGCCCAAGAAAACAGTGGATTATTTATAGCGGTTTAGTGAAAAGAAATGGTGCTGGAAAGGCAGGGAGATTTAAGCGAATTTCGGGAACTGATGTAAGAACTCAGAAATACGTTTTCCAGAGCAGCAAGTGTGGTTTTACGGGTGGACAGTTTAAAGCAGCCCCGACCCCTTTTGGGTCTCTTACCTTGGGGCTCTCTCCTGTGCCACCCGAGGTCTGCGAGCTGAGCTGTCCAAGCACTCCGCACCCGAGCACAGCCCCTGCAGCACCGACAGGAGACACGGAGCGCTTTCCACACCAATACGACCCTAATTGTCAAACCCCAGGGACCAGAGCCTTTTGCCAGGAGCAAAGGGAGAGCAGCTCCCCGCGGTCCCGGACACCGCTCCCGCCACCGCGGGGATGGATGGATGGATGGATGGATGGATGGATGGATGGATGGATGGATGGATTCACGGCCCCGACGGCTGCTCCTCTCCCTCCTGCCTGGCCCTGTCCCGGTGCCCGGGAGGTTTAGCACTGCTCGCTCTCCCCGTGCCCGTCCGCGCCGGGCGCTGCGAACACGGCAAACACAAAGGCGCCGCCGCTCCGCCGTGCGAGCGGGGAGAGAGCGCGGCCCCCTCAGCGGCCCTGCGGCCCCACTGGATGTGCCGGGGGAAAGGGGAGGGATGAGGGGGGCGGGGGGCACAGAGAGCTGCCCCCTCGCAGCCTTCGCTGCCCCCTGCGCTGGGAAAGCTCGCCCAGAGAGAACCCCCTCCTCTCCCCGAGCCAAGGGATGGGAACTCGGCCGAGCCTTCGCACCGAGATCGATCTGGCCGAGCAGAACGCGGCCGCGCCGCCCGCACGGGGCCCGGGGCTCCCCTCAGCCCAGCGGCTCCGGGGTCCGGTCCCCTCTCCCCGCGGCGAGCGGCGCAAACCTCGAGTCTGCCCGAGGCCTGGCCTTAATCTGGATTCAGATCCCACTCCGACCCCCGGCCGCCAGAGATGAATGCGCCCCTTTGCCTGCTCTTTATTCCAGACTCTTACTCGCAGGGGTAGCTCCCATTAAATCCAGGAAACTGCTCCCTGGAATAAAGTGGCAGGAGCAAGGGTCGCAGGGCCAGGCCTCGGGGTTTATAAAGAAATCATTCACTTCTGCTTTCCAGTTGTCGCAGAGCGAGCCTGAAAAATATTTGTTTATATATGGAAATATTTGGGGGGAAAAAGAGAAATAAGGGGAGCCGGCTGCTGGGCGGGAGTGCTGTCCAGATGTGCTGTTTGCAGGGGCTGGGCCACTTTCAGACCCTTCTCCACAGCAAGAAAAACCTTTCCGAAGGTTTCCCCAGATCTAGCCCGCGGATTTGTTGTTATTTCTCTTTTTTAAAAAGTTAGCAATCGAAAACAACGTGAAAACCAGGCTGTCTGATAACGTGAGCGAGCGATTTGCTGGGCTTTAACGCAGCGCCGATTATTTTTGAACGGATCGAGGATTTCGAGGCTGGCTCTCTAGAAAGAGGCAAGTTTAAAGCAAGCACAAGTCGCCGCTTGGAAACACGAGCGAGGTGATGTTCCCGTGCTGCGCGGGGTCAGTTACTGTGACTGGGGGAAAAAAATACGCCTGCAATTTATTTTTATGGTCTGCACAAACGGTATTGTTGCGTATATTAACTAATTCATAATTATACCCCTATTATGCTGTCGATTCGTTCCCCCTCCCCTTCCCCCGGTTTTCTCAGGCTTTGAGAATTGAACCACCGCAAAATATTTACAGTCTCAAGTGTTTTTAAATGGGCTTTGTTTGTGTTTTACAGAATAAAAATCTCTATTAGTGTTTAAACAAACACCATGCCAGTCTCTTAAGCCTTCCAGATGTTTGCAATAAAATGTCAGGTTTTGCCTTTGGGACTCGAAATAAAATTTAACTACCTTCACCCTGTAATTATTCTCTTAGCTCTCCCTTCCTAAATTTATCTGCTTTCTATCAGGACAGAAAAAAAATCCGATTATACACTTGGACTATAAAAAACAGCCACTACTTTTCCCTCCATTTTACCAGGACTTCTCCCCTGTTTGTTTCGGCGCGTATGTTATTTTTGTCTCTCCTGTTTTCGGGGCGGCAGAAGGAGACCAGGCAGAGCAGAGACGCATCGGCACGTTTGCTGGGCTTAAGGCAACAAAAAGTCCCTTGTACCCGGGCCTCTCCCCCTATTCAGCCCCATACCGGCCCCAGCGTTCCCCGTGGGGAGGAGAATCGGGAACTTAAAATTGTCCCTGAACTTCCACTGGCTCAGGGCGTCACTTTTCTCCAGGCACCGGCGAGACCTGACTGCATTTCGGAGCCTCCCCGCGGAGCTGCTTGGAAATAGGCAATTATGGTGAATAATTCACACAGAGCAGGTTCCCCTCGCAAACAAAGACCAAAGTCCCGGCTAGAGACCCTTATGCCTTCTCAGCTACTGACTTGGGGCAACACAGGCAGGATTAAAAGCCATGCATTTCGTATTTACCACGCCAAACTTGAGAACAACCCGGAACGATAAGCGGGGCACTAGATGATCTCTCTCTTCATGTGCAGACTACAGACCCGCTTTGCCTGCTTGTCGGCAGCAGTTTCTGCCGCTTTCAGCTCTCGCTGCTGGCGTGGGACCCGCAGACACGCACGGGCGGCTGCTCCGCTCCACGCTCCGTGCGCGCTGCAGCCGCCGGGCACAGCCTGGGGGCGCGCCCGCCCGGCTTCACACCCACGGGCCCCCGGACCCAATCCCGGCCGCTCCTGCCGCCCCGCTTCTCTATAAGTTATTTATTTTTCCTC